TGTTGCTGTTGTTGCTGCTGTTGCTGCTGCTGTCATGCAAAGTAAACGAGCCGAGCTAAACAATAACAGTTTGCAATTTCATAAATAGTTAATTGGTTGCTTTTTCGGGCTTCATTTTATAGTGTATAGTATATATAGCGTGCATACAATTTACATGGATGATACATGTGCCTGTGTTAAAGTAGAAGGCTGTGAATTATGAGACAAACCCTTTGTGTGGGAGTTGCTGCATTAAGTATTTATAAAGCTAAGAGGGTATAAAAACAGGTTTAGGAATTGCTGAGCGATAGTTAAGTGTGCGCATGTGTGTGTGTGTGTGTGTGTGTGTGTGTGAGAGCGAGAGTGTTAGTCTGAGTCGGTGTAAGCAAGATCGAGAAACTACAAATTACTATTACTTTAACTTTTAGATATACTTTTACTTTTACTTTTACTGTTCATTGATTGTTTTGTATTTTATCATATACATACGTCTCTAAAGAGATGATTTTGGTGGTGCTGATTTGGATGAAGTTGGTGGTGCTGGAGTGAGTTAACAACAACGCTATTGGTGCTGGTGTTGGTGCAACCTGCGGTCGCCTGTTGTTGCTGCATTTGCTGTTGCTGTTGCTGTTGCTGTAGTTGAAATTGTTGCTGCTGTTGCTGCTGCTGCTGCTGGTGGTGCTGTTGTAGTTGTTGCTGCTGTTGCTGCTGCTGCTGCTGTTGCTGCTGTTGTGCTGTTGGTGCATTTGGTAGTGCTGCTGGTGCTGTGGTGCTGTTTGTTGGTGCAGTGACGAGCATATTGGTGTTGTTAACATGCCCCAAATGCGGCGGTGGCGGTGGCAGCTTTAAGCCGCCATTCAATATAAAAAGTTGCTGATGTGCTGTTGCTGCGGCTGCTGCTGCTGCTGCTGCGGCGGCTGCTGCTGCCGTTGCTGTCTTGCTGCTATTTATGAGCGATATCTCGTTGAGCATCTTGGTCTTGGCATACTCGATGCGTATGGAGCCACGGTCCGAGCTGAGCAAATACTTGCCCTGCAGCTGCTGCATGGCCTGAGCAGCGCTCGTTGCATCGTTGAACTCAATAAAGGCTACCGGATGTTGTTGTTGTTGCTGGCCAGAGTTGTTGTTGTTGTTGTTGTTGCTGCTGCTGGTGCTGGTATTGCAGTTTGTAGCTGTTGTCGTTGGCAATTGGTTGACAGTTGCAGAGTAGGAAGTTGAAGTTGGTGTTGGAGAAGTCAGAGTTGAAGACAAAGTTGGAGGCATAGAAGTTGTGATATTGTGCGTACCTTTTGTGTGCATTCGTAGGCGACAAAAGCCAGGCATACTGTGCATATTGATAACATATTTGGTTTGCATATATACGATATACGATATATATAGATATATAGGTATATGAGTAGTCGGTTATCGATATTTCATGTACAATACAAGTGTTGGGCAACAAACGACAAACCAAAGAAAGAACGCATTAAAATTAATTGATTAGTCTTTGCAATTAGTTAGAATTTCAAGAAAAATTGTGGTGCATTTTTAGTTGGTGGTTATTGGATTTCGTGGTGGTTTAGTGTTATTAATTTAATTTTTTTTTTATGTGGGTGGCTGCTGTGGTCAACAGTGGTGCAGTTTTCGCTCAACAACTCAAACTTTGTAACGTGTTTACGTGTATGTGAGTGTATCTTATTTTGTTATCGGTTATCGTTTAGCTTATATCGATAATAGTTCTATTGTTAAATCATAGTTCAAGCCATTCATTTACCTAGAGAAAACCTCCTTGAGCTCGTGCTCGGACACAAACTGGCCCAGATTGGCCACAAACAGCGTGGAGCAGGGCGCATTCGCGGCTATCTGTGGATTGGCCGGGTGTGCGGCGGTGTTCGTGGAGCCGGCGGGGCTAGCCAGCGCGGGGCTGGATAAATAATGATGATGAGATGCGGCCGCAGCAGCGGCGGCAGCAGCAGCTGCAGCTGCGGCATTACCCGCAGCGCCTTGCGGCGCTGCAGCAGCAGCAGCTGCACCACCACCACCGCCGGCAGCGGCAGCAGCGACCATGTGCGCCATGGCCGCCTGCTGGCTGGGATGTAAAGCGGTAGCAGTTGTCTGATGATGTGGCATTGCCATTTGAGTCTGCAACATGGAACAGTGGGCAACAAGCGAGCAATTAATACCGTGATTGACTGTGGCTCAGCTGCTCTTCTGTACTCACTTGATGCATAGGCTGCTCCATTACTTTGTCTGTATTTAGTCAGAGATAGGAGCGGACGGGCACCTGCGGATGCAGTGCCGGATGCACGAGTGTTGCATGCTGCAGTGCAGCGGCACCGGGCAGATCAGCGGCGGCGGCCGAATACGCTAACGGATGATGCCATAGCTCGGGTCCGCCCGGAAAGAACGGCCCGCCCAGATCTAAGAGAAAATGGAGTAGAAATCAAGAGAGAGAAAGAGAGAGAGAGAGAGAGAGAGAGAGAGAGAGAGAGAACGAGAAGTCAGTTGAGCGCCAATTTTTTGTGTTTACTTTTTGTTACATTGGTTTTATGTTCTTGTTGGTTTTTGTTTTATTTTAACTTATTTTTTGTGAGTGACCAAGAAAAAGTTTAGTTTACAAAATGAAAATCGACAACAAAAAAATTTATTTAATCTTTCAAGTTCGTTGCCTTAGTCTTTTGTTTTGGTGGCTGTCGGCGATGGTAACCAATGGAATTTAAATAGTTATAAATAAACGTAATACAAATTTTAAAGAACGTAAATGTGTCTTATAAAGGCTTGAATATATTCTTAGAGATATTTCTGGGCCCCAAAACTTGCAAAGTTCCAAGCCAATTTCCATTAAATTTGAGCATTTGGTACGTTATTTTTCTTTTGACTGAGCTTTTTGTGAAGTATCTCACGGATTGTGTGTGCCTGCGTGTGTGTGTGTGTGCGTGTGTGTGTGTGTGTGTGTGTTTTTAGTGGTGTGTAATTCAAACAAAGTGTTACAGTGATCAAAGTGCGTTACATAATATCATAGTTGCTGTAGTTGTTGTAGTTGTTGTTGTAGATGTTGTTGAGTTGTTGCTGTAACCTATGTAAATATTTATAGCGAAATTTAGTTCGGGCGTACGATAATTGATAACATTTGATATATATATATAGCAATATATACGATTTATATATATGTATGTATAATATTATAGAGTGTGCACTTGAAGCAAATTTCAACTGTTCAATCGCTGGATTTTGTTGTTGTTATGTGTATGTATGTATGTGTGTGTGTTCGTGTCGAGATAGTAAGGAAGTGCACTGCGTACGCTTTCGAGTACGCCTTCGGTTCGGTAGCTCGAAGTAGTATTTTTTGTGTTTCATTTTTTGTTATTAACTATTAACTACATACATAAACCAAAAGAATAGATTAACCAAAAAAAAAAAACAAAAAGAAAACTAGCTGAGTTGAGATTTTCCTTTTCTTTTTTTTTTTTTTTTTATTTTTCAATTTATTTTTACTTACGTCCAGTGAGTGGGTGCATCAATGCAGGATGTGAGGCTGTTGTCGCTGTATTGGGCTGTGGTTTGGGTTTGCTCACTTTCGTGTTACTCTTGGCGAATTCCAAGCGAATTGTTTGGGGCATATCGGGATCGAAGCGTACACCCTGCTGTAAATGATCAGATCAAAATACAGCGATTTGTATTTTTTTTTGTTCACATGTTGTACTTTTGCAAAAATAATAAAAGTGTATTTGGATTGAATTTCTTGACTCTTTTGGTTTTATCCAACACTTTTCGTACTGCTTTAATTTCTATTATATAATTCTTTATCTTGCAACAATTCGCCAAAAATAAGTTTGAATGTCGCATAACTAGTGTTAAGAGAGATATGGAGTTTGACAGCGAGCGAGAAGAATCTTGTTCCCTTTGTCTTTTGATTGGGGACATAGAAACCAACTTGCCCCGTGGGCGGTGCTTACAAAACGTTGAACTGCTGCTTTGAGTGTTGCCTTTTGGCGGCTTGCTCTTTTCAGAATGGGTTAGGGGCTATTTGAGTATGTGTGTGTGTGGTTGTATGTGTTTGTGGTTTAATTCCTTGTGATATGCTGAGAAATCAAAAGCAGGAGATGAGTACAGCAACTGCATAGGAAGAGCACCTATGAGTGGAGCGTTGGGGGGAGCGTCATTCAAGAAATTCAGTGCCAACGGGTGCTGCCTATTGAGTAGAGGGGGGGGTGGCATTGACATGCACCAGCCAAATATATTGTGGACTAGAAACATTATTTTTATATATATTTTTTTTAAGTTTCTTATTGTTGGTGCTTCATTGCCTCATTGCAGTTGCTATGTATACATATGAGAGAGTGTAATGTGTATATGTGTGTGTTGGTGTGACAGAGAGAGAGAGAGAGAGAAAGATTAAGAGGGAGAGGGAGAGAGTAGTTTTCTGAGATTGAGATGCAATACCAAAAATAATAAGATAGACAAATCAAGTAAGGATAGACTTAAATGTAAATGCGGTGAAGGTTCTTTCAAAATGCAAGCACGTGTGAAAAGTACATCTTGCTGTTGTAGTTGTTTTTGTTGTTACTGTGAATTGATTGAGATACGATTGTTGTTGTTGAAGGCCTTACGGTTCTTAACGCTCAGTGTAAGCCAGGCAATAATACGAGTACAAGTTTTGGTTTTGGTTTTGGTTTTGTGTGCTTTACAAACTAAGTGTAAATGTTTTTGGTACGCCGAAAAGTTTGTATATTTTATTGCCGTTTGGGAAGGTCTTTTTATTTTGCAGACGTTGCTAAGAATTGTTGGTGTTGATCGATTATTTTATATATATATATATAGCTAACGAAAATATTGGGTTGTACAGATACATATAATCGTAGGTAAAAAAAGTTAAGCTTATAAATTTGCCATTATATGTTACCTGCAGATCTTGTTTGGCTGCCTCGGCACCGGCTCTTGTATGGAATGTTACGAATCCAACGGGCTGTGGTTGAAAATGAAGGATTTCATATATAAACAACGGGCTACTCTATATATTCTGTGTACCCATTACTTACCGATGCTGTTTTGCCATTTTTGCTAGTTACTTTTAGTAGAGATCCTTCATAGCCCTGTTAGAAAAAGTTGGGAAAAATTTTTCGATATTATAGTTGATATATGAAAAACTTAGTTAGATATTTTGATGATGAGAAGTTCCTTCTATTTAATTTTTTTTTTTTTTCAAGAGTTTGAGCGTTAATTAAATTTTGTAGCAAATATTATTGAATTTTTACAATATCGTATGTTATATTGATATATAAAAAAATAGAAAGTAAATAACAAAAATTCTCAAAAACATGAAGTTTACAATCTCTATGGATATTTGTCAATGATATAAGTCAATGTATTTACCTATTTTAATTTAATGCCGTTTATGACCTAATCCTAACTATACATCATAATACGTTAACAGTTTAAAGAACTAACAATAGAAATTGGCTACACTTATGTGTCTTGCCCTACGTCTCTTTGAAACCAATTAAGATACCATATATAAATGTGACCTTTATAGTCAACAGAATTTTGTGGAAACCTTCGCTTAGACACTTTTTCTTATTTCTTACGGATTACTCACCTCATATGCTCTGAACAGCAAATAGAGCTCACGTGGCTTGGCATCCATGGGCAAACCACTGACGAACAGTGTGCGCACCTGCAATAGACAAGAGAGTAAGAGGTTGAGTGTGAAGAGGTACAGTTAACAAATCTATGTAAAGATTTTTCGCAGTTTTTTTTTTGAGAGAAACCAATTTCCTATGATTGCGTAATTAAGTTAATGCTGTCACGTCGCATAAGAGGATACAAAAATGAACCCAAAACCTCTGGCCTCCATTTCAATGTGTCAAATATTTAAATTTCGCTGCCGCCCCAAGCCCAAAAGTTCATGTCACGCACACACACCCAAATACATATGCAAACCAGCTTGCATGTGTGTGTGCGTGTGTGGGTGTATATGTTTCCGTGTGTGTGTGTGTGTGTGTGTGTGTCATTGTGTAGTGATAATGAAAGCAAATGGAATAAGCGCCATAAACGCTGAATTCATTAAGGCAACGACGTGACGCGCAGGAACAGCAGATGTGCTAGAGAGTTAGAGCGAGAGAGAGAGAGAGGGGTGAGCGAGACTAAAGCGGCCTTGTGGTGGGGGAGGGGGTGGACTAATGAGCCTTGTCGCACTTTTTTTGTCCCTTTTTATTTTTAACACCTAGGCAAGCAGATTTTAAAGGGACGAGCTGTGCAAGCTGTGAGCTGTTTTTGGTTAGCTTTCATTTCTTTTTTCTTTTTTTGGCAGTTTTATACCCGCACTGAAAATTTAGAGAAGGCTCCATAAAAAGCTTCGTGTGGTTTAGGGTAGAGCAGTTACAATTTGTTTAAATATAGATGTACGACACAGTTAGAGGCTGGCCCTTGAATTACCTTTTTTTTTTTTAACTAAATGATCTTTTAACGTGGAACTTTAGAGTCAAAGGGTTAAATTTAATGAGTAAAAAGTAAGTTGGATTGGATTATCGAGTTTAGTTCAAACACAATACAATATTATTCTAGTATATATGTATGTGTATATAAGTATACAGAACAGTTGGAAAACTATTCTTAAATATACTTAAACTAAACTGATATAATATATTAATATATTAAATTCAATTAAATTTTAGTTTTAATTTCTTGTGAATGGAATTAAAATGTAGAAATGTTGGATATTATGTTCTAGGAAAAATATTTATTGCGCTCATTGAAAAAGATATTCGATTGAGGAAAATTTTCAAATGTGACAGCTTTATTCGGTGAGTGAACTGACTATTTGATGATAAATAAATATATGTATATTAAAGTCGGGTATTACATGAATTGTATGCCTCTGCGAACAGTTTTAGTCTGAACTCCCTCGTCTCTAGAGACCGACAGATGTTGTGTGTATGTGTGTGATTGTGTTTTAAAATTGAAACGTGTTCTATCGCTGAATCTAGCTATTGTTATCCGTCTGCTGGAGCAGGTGTATAAAAATAGCTCAGCTTGTACATGTAGCACATTAATAGTCCTCGTAGTAGAAGCTGCTGCAGTTGCGGGCTTAAAATTGTCCAACCGCAATTTACAAATTAATTAACCCACTCAAGGGCTGGGCAGCAGAATGAAAAACAATAAAAAAAAGGCAAGAAAATGAAGTGAAATCCTTTGACGTTGTTGGCGCTGCCAAGCTGCCAAAAAGGATCTGCAAGCGCCACGCTCAGTTAAATAGCAATTAAAATTAATTTTTGCGCAGTCTGCGGCTGCAAGTTGCCCGCTGCTCCTGCAATTGCGGGTCCGCTAATTGGACGGGTAATGAGCTGAGCCCGTACCCTGTCCGATGGATGAGACGCGACCAAACATAAAAAATAAACATATAAAGGATAAGAGAATAGACCTAAAAAGCTGCAGCAAAATTGAGCCGAGCCAACTAATTAGAAAGCAGTGGTTGCCCACTGAAATTTCGTTGCGGTTACAATTTCTGTTGCAAATGGCATTGAAATGCAATAATAATATCTTTAGTGTGCGTGTGTGGGTGTGTGCGTGTGTGTGTGGGCTACAGCTCAAGCTGATGGCATGTCCCGCTGCACAAATATGCCAAGAGCAAACAACAGGCTAGGGAGACGCCCAGACAGGCAATGGAACTCTGCTAGACATTCAGTTGCATTGCCAACCACAAAAGTCAGTTAGCCGGAGCCAAATCAGCCATAGACGTGGCTAAATGTGAGCTGGCTGTATCTGCTCCCCCTCTCGCTCTAACAAACTATCTCTCTCTGTGCATCTTTCTTGTTGCCCCGTGTTTGTCTTGTGTGTATTTTGGCCACTGCGGATGCACATTAAACATTTTGGCAAACACATCCAGCGCAGTAACCAGCTCCCAACTCCCAGCTCCCCTTTGCCAGCTCCAGGATGCTATCCCTAAGAGCCGCTTCCCCAGCCCAGTGGCCGCTCTTTTATATGGCACATATGTTGGCAACTATATATTGCAGTTGAGGTTGTGTGGGTGTTGCGGGTTTTGTTTCTAGCTTACGTTGCCAAAATCCATTTAAATACAGTAAATGTCATGAAGTTGCAGCTATATGTGGCAGTTGTAAGTGTTGCTGGTCAACCTTGCAACTTGGTTGCCTGCGCTTGGCAATGATTTCGGTGCTCCAACCCTAACCTCCTCTCGTGTCTGTTTGTTTTTGTGGTTGTGTAACTGCTGTTGCCGCCGATGCTGCTGCTGCTGCTGTTGCTATTATTGCCAAGAAGTTGGCAGTTGCCTTGCGTTCCCACACCTCGCTCGCATTGCGTTTAGCCGCAATGGCTTGCTTTGGTTCTGTTTCACAGTCAGTTTGTGTACTTATTGTATCACATTTCATGTTTGTGACTATGCGCTTCATTTCAGCTGACTTTTGTAGCAATTATAAGTTTCTTAGACATACTTAATATCAAATTGCATATATGCAAATATCACGCATACGCAATGTTGCTGTATTGACTTTCCGGTGGAAAATCGACTGACCAAACAGCTAGTTGTTGGCCTTGTCTTGTCTTTTGGCCAATTGTAAATCACTCAGTAGTCAAGTGTTGACTTACAATAATTAAGCGTGACACACTCACACACACACACACACACACGCACACACACCCAAATATAAACAGTTTATAAAGCGATCATAATCGCCGAGTCGTTGTTGTGGGCGTGCCCCAGCTGAGACGTGGTATGCGCAGCGCCGGCTGAAAGGCGTTAAATTGCAAGTGCTTGTAAATTGTCAAACAGCTGACAAAACGACACGCAAATATAGAGGCTTAATAGAAAAATAAAAATCAGCTTTAGAGTCAGCCACAAATCGCAGTGAACAGCGTTCGCAAATATTTAAATAGTTGCAGCGATTATTGTTGTTGTTTTGTGTGTTTCATTTGCTGCGCGTCAACGTCAACGCCAACATCAAACATTTAACATTGAAACAGCTTTTGTTGTTTGACTTTTATCGGTTCGGCGGCATTTGCACAAAGTATTTGCGTAAATATTTTCTCTATAAATAATTGGCAATTAAATTAATTTTTAATGCATTATAGTGTGTCTGGCTGAATGGCAGATCAATTTAATTGATAAAGTAATGCACGCAAAAAGCCAATTAATCGAATTGTTCATTTCAGTAGCAAATGCCTTATGTTATCTTTTATAAAATTTTACTTAGATATAGTTGTTAAAAGTAACTAATAAATGTATATATGCATATGCGAAATTCTTGGCTCTGCTTTTAAATAACCTAGTCTATGTCTTGCTTTCTACAAAACATAATAAGTTCAGCTTCACATTTTTCCCCCAACCTTATTGTTGTATAACTTTCAAATGTGAATACAGAATGGCCATTATTTGATTTCCAAAATGTTTTTCCATAAGCAGCTAGCTAGAAACTAATTCATTTCTTGAAGATTCTTGTAGGTAATTTGCCTGCCCATCGTTGGTCAAGCGAATGTCGAAGTAATTGGCATAATGCATAACAATAGTCAGCTATTTCCGCAATAAGTAAATATTTCTTTACTGCAAGAATCGTGGCCAACAATGCAGTTAAATCAGCAAACTGTTGGCGGATAGCTGGGCTAACCTACCCTTCTCCCTCCAACCTAACGCCAATTAAGTCGAGCGTCGAGTCAACTAAATGCCGCCAGCTAAGAAGTTAACTGCAGTTGCTGTTTTGTTGTTATTGTTGGCATTGTTGTTGCTGCTGTTGCCATTGTTGTTATTATGTTAGTTTGTTGTTTATTTAGTTTGTGTATTGCTTTGCTGGTTTCTTTTCCTTTCGGTCCAAGTAGCAAGTCAAATCGTGAAGTGCAGCAACAAGCATTGAAAAGAACTCACGCCCTCGGGCTGGACAATGCAACAAAAAGTCGCTCATGCTACGGCAATTGTTATAGCTACACTATGCCCGGCGGGATAAGCGCTGTGCCAAACAATAGACAGGTGACAATATGTAGAGGGAAAAACCTTAATATTACAAATTATTTCTTCGTAGTTGACAACACGAAATTTTAAATCACATATATTTTATGTGTGCTACCAACATTTGTAGCAATTATTTAAGTGTTCTTCTGAGTTTCAATTCAGTTTAGATTATAATAAAGATCTATTCTAAAAGCTATGCCCGGTAGTTGCTAATATATTCGAATCTATGATCATTCTCGTGTATTAACTATCGATAGTGCTAGCAATATATATTTGCTTTAACCTTACTTTAATCTAAGGTGTCGGTTCGTATTGTTGCTTAGGGCTTCCAACTCTCTGCAGCGTAAATTGCTCACACAACTTGTGGTTAAACTCATTTTGTTTTCTGTGTTTAGACCATTGCGAATTCAATGTTGAGCTGGAGCGTGCTCTACTAAATGTGTATGCCGAGTGAGTGAGTGAATAGTGGATGTTGCAATTGTTGTTGTTCTTGTTGTTTTGCCGCATTTTGCATACAAAATGACGGCGGCCATTGTGAAAATGAAGCTTAGGATGCAGTGCAGCATGCGAAGCAACAGCAGAGACAATTGCTCTTGCGCTTTGGCACCGGCAGCAGGAGCGGCAGCAGGAACAGCAGCAGCAATTCGTGTGTACTGCAGCAACAATAGCAAAGCGCAGCGGCTGGCACAATGTTGGGCAACTTCTTAGGGCTTAAATGA